AGCATTGTTAATCATTTTTCCCAAGTTTGATTCCTAAAATTCATAGTGAATTAAAAAGAATTTAGCACAACATTTTAAATCACGAGTTAATTTGCTAATAGATAGCAAATTACAAGAAAAGATGAAGATGATTACCTTTTTGAGCTAAAGAACAATAGAAAGACGTATTGTTTGAGAATTGTGTGGATTGAAATAGTCTATACAATTGGTCTAATTATTTTTTTTTTAAAGAAGATATCATTGAGGCTCTTGCTTGCTCCTCGACGCTTATTTGAAATGCGCTTGATTTATGGTTGGACGATCTTGGCTTTCAATTCTATGGTTTCCCATGAAATTTCCAACATGTATCTCTTATGTGTCATAGCTTGTGGCAATGATCACACCACACTTTCTTCCTTCTTTAATTCTGCTGTGTCTATCCAGATTGATTATAAGACTAGGTCTTAATGGCGAGAGCAAAAACTTCAGTAGTAGGTTGGTTATTCTCTCACAACATCACCTTTTGTTGGCCTTATTCTTTTCTTACTTCAGCAAACACTTCACAAAGAGTTGGAAGTGGTTTCCACCCAAGAATTCGATTTCGAACCTTATTTAGGTTCTTGTTCAGCCTTGCTAAAAAAAACTTATACTTTATCATTTTTCATCCTCTTCATGTATCTTACACTATCATTTGCACATTCCCAATCTTCTTCATAACATAAGTCTAGCTTTTACCACAAATGCTTTCATCTCATTGTAATGTTGTCACCTTTTGATCACTTTGTTTAGAATGCCATAAATTAGTCTTCAACTCAAAGATTTGAGATGAGTTTTTCAAATTAGAGTATGTCTCTCAAACTACTTCCCATACTTCTCTTATAGTTGGCAAAACAAGTAAGTTTTTTCGATTGCTGGCTTTATGGAATTTACAAGCTATGTAATCATTAAAGAATTCTCAAATCTCCATGTCTTTAATGTTGGGTCATTGCTAGCTGATTTCTTTAGTGGTTGAGCTTTCTTTTGCCATCAATCATGAGCTTCATTGATTGCTTCCATTCTAGATAATTTTTACCATTTAATTTGTGAATGGTTAATTAGGTAGATGAATTTTCAAATCGACTAATATTTATGGTAGAAACACCTTCACTAATAGCACCTGCAGATGCTGTGCCTTTTTATCCAGTCATGGCTGTTTTGACTATCACGATTGTCAATAGAAATGCATATTCTTTGATACCATATAAACAGAATAAAATAGAATAGAGGAGAAAGAAAAGATAACTTCTTATTGATTAACATAAGAATTACAAGGATTTAAATAGAATAAAATTTAAATAAGAATCCTAAACCTCAAAAATCTAAATAAAACACATTTTTAGGGATTTCAATTTTTTTTCAATCCTAACTTTTTTTAATTAATTTTAGACTTTTTTAAAAAAAATAAAAAAATCAATAAAATAAAAATTTAACCTTAAATTAAAATCTTGGATTAAATGAAATATTTATATCTCTCATTAATGATCGATAATCCATCATATTTATGATATTCAATCATATATATATGTTTTAGTAATATGAACAAAATTGGGTAAAATTTAAGATTTAAATTATCGGATTTAGATGTAACAAGATTGATCCGAACTTAACCCGATATGATTTATACTTAATTTGCTTTGCACATACTATTAACATTTTTAGTCACATGCAAGTAAATGCACCCTACCTCTTTGCATGTAGATATATTATATATGCATTTAAAATTTTGTTTAAATCAAGAAAAGTGAATTTTAAATAGGAGCGGTTTCCCTCACTGTTAAGGTTTTGGCCTTTAGGCACAATTAGGAACCTTTTTCAGCTTACTTTATTTTATGAATTTTACTTAAGTAATCAGCTTCAACTTGTATGTATCATTTCTTCTATTAGCTATTGCCTATTTTTCTTTAACTTTGAAGAAAATTTAATTAGGTAAAAAGGTATGTGTAAAGAATGATATCAAAAATCTCATAAGTGTCGAAAGGGGCTTCAAAGGCTGAACCAACAGTGGCTTAGTTACCTTCCATAAGCAAAATTGAAAAAATAATCAAATCTAGCGCCTTAGATAGAATGTACTATTTGCTTTTGCTGCTCAACATAAATTCAACCTTATTTCGTTAGATAATTATTCAATTTGGATAATTGCTTGTTGCAACATAAAAATGAAAAAAAAATGAAAATGAATTATAGGATTAGTTTAATCAACATATAGAAATTACTCTGCCCAATTTGTTGTATAATTTTGTTAAGTTTTTCAAATAAAAAAAAGATTTTGTTAAAATTAAGCTAACTACGTTTGCTTTGTTTAATAATAGATGTAATTAAGAATTAAAGATCAACGTTTTAGGTTTTGTTTAGTTGTTACTTTTGCTACTTGTTGTTAGCTATTTACATTTTACATAAAAAAATTTAATTGGATTAAAATATACCTCATATTCAAACATAGTTGTTGCATATATATGTGAAATCATGTATTTTTGTCGTTCACAAAAAAAAAAAGTTGTTTTAGTTGTTCTAAAATATTATTGGTATCTCTGTCCAAACACATTTTATACTTTCTACTTAGAATTAAAAAAAAAAAGTAGCTGAAGCAACAATGAAATGGAGCCTTAGTTGATTGGAGTCTTTCTTTTATCAAAAATGGGTATATGTTTTCTCGAGTAATATGCCTTTAGAGTGTCTTTGAGATTATGTGAAAGAAACTATCCATTTTAGGTATGAACAATTGGTTCATTGGCATATAGGATTAGATTAATGCAATCTTTTAATGGTCTTATTTTATACAATAAAGATAATGACAATGAGAAAAAAGATGAAGATATGGATGTCGAAGTTAATATGCAAACTAAAGACGTAGCCCAAGCACTTTCTATGGTAGATGCTCTTGGCAAAACTTTCAAGAACAAGTTGGGGATACAATTGGAAGATCTTACAGATGGTTTGAAGGAATTTGACATAGAACATTATGATGATAAAGATGATTGTATCTTTGATTAGATTATCTACTGTTTTTATTTGCTTTTTTCTTTTATTTGCTTTTTTCTTTTATTTTGTTGTTATCGAGATCCTGATTTGCAATTGATCTTGAAACATTTTTAAATTTTAGTTTGATAGTAATCATGACTCTCACATGTGCCTTACTATACGTGCATGTTTGATTATATCTAATGAAGCCCCTACTCATTGTTGATGTCAGGTATTGAGCTATTTAGCTAGGAGTTTAGTGATTTTTATTATCCAAACAATGTAATGGATCCATTTTTAAAGGATGATGATGTAAGAATGAGAACTTCCTTATGGTTTGACCTTTTTTTTATAATTTCTTTAGTTTTTATTACTGGGACAATTTTAGGATGATGATTCAGAAGAGATTGAAGACATGACCATTAGAGGTTATGATATTCGAGCTGCCAAGTTGGATCCATCTTCCGAGTCAAAACCAAGTTTTACTCTCCGTGCACATGACAAAGCGGCTTGCACCCTTTCATATAATCCTGCCGCACCAAATGTATAAACCTATGTCTCGTTCTCATTCCTTGGTTAGGTTATTTATTTCCTGTGCATGACACTTGTTTTATTTTGTCACAGCTTCTTGCGATTGGATCCATGGATAAAATGGTAAATTAAGTTTTTCTTTGAGTGCTTTCATATACCATGGAAAGTTATGAATATAGTTTAGGTGGTTTCAGTGGTTGATCTTCATTTGCTTCAGGTAAAACTTTGGGATTTATCAAACAATCAACCTACATGTGTTGCGTCCAGGAATCCTAAAGCAGTAAGTGTGATTTAGAGGAAGCATTTGGGAAGCCATGTGTTACTTTCTGATCTCTCCAATATGTATTCATTCTTACATGTTATTGTGAATCTTAGTAGGAAGCTGTCTTTTCCATTTCCTTCTCACAAGATAGTCCTTTTTTGCTGGCTATTGGGGGCTCAAAGGGAAAATTGGGAGTGAGTGGAGAATCTTGCAATAGCATGTTTTTATTAGTATTGGAATTTGGTACCATTGAATGGAGGGTGATTATATTACAAACTATAATGCAGGTTTGGGATACATTATCCGAAGCAGCCGTCTTAGGGAAATTTGGGAACTACAGCCAGCCGAGCAGACCCAAAACTTAACTTGAAAGGTGAAAGCTTTTGTTGTTTCTTTGACAGTTTGCATTTATTTGAGGATGAGTTTCTTCATGGGTTGCAAGAAATGTTTTTATGGTTTTGAAATCATTTTTGGGAGTATATTTTGTAATCCAATGCATGGAAATTTTGTAGCTATTACTTAATGGTGAAAAAGTAAGAAAATAGAGGAAATGAGTGCATTGCTTTGAAGTTGAAAGGAACTCTCTTAGATGATCCAGGCTTCATTTCTTAGTGTTTGTTGAACAAATGACCAAACAGTTTCCAGATAGCGTGAACAATCTTCCAAGTCAACGAGGTTTTTTTTTTTTGGGGGGGGTGGGGGGGTGGGGTGGTGGGCAACGAGCTTAATCTTGTAAGTACTTGAAGAGAGTATGCCAGAAATGTAGTTCCAAGAAACCCCCGATCCTAATTCGATGTTATATTCTTTTCTTACGCTTGTGCTTGTAGTTTAGCAACGGAAATGTTCCTTCACTTTATCCTTTTCTTCTCCATTCTTAATTTTTTTGGGTGGGGAGGGGGGTTTAAAAATTTTCAAATAATTTTGTTAATTTATTGTGATAAATAAATTCTTATAATTATCTAATAAATTTCAAAGCAGAGTGCTTTGAAACGGTCATCACAATCCATCACTCGGAGTTATACTTGAAGCTCAAGTTGCGTTTAATGTTTGAATTTGTTTTTCAGAATGTTGTATGTTGTAAATTGGAAGTTTGAAGCTTGAAATATTCTTTCTTTCATTGCCCGCCAAAGGCGTTGAGAACGTTTCAATTGCGTGATTAGTACTAGCATGAAATTTACGTGAACAAATTCCTACTCTCTTCGGTTCAAATTCAGTCCGCCTGCTTATAAAATAACTCTTCTTATTGTCATTCTCCAAAGCCTAAATAGCAAGAGATAATAATGTCTTCACTGTTGGGACAGCTGCCTTCCATCACCACCCTCTTGTCCATCTATGCCTCCGTCTCCGCCATGGCCATGCTACTTCGCACAATGTTGAATGAAATGATCCCCTACCGAATGCAAAACTATATTTCCTCTAAATTCTTTGACTTGGCCTCTCGTTGTCTTTCCTCTGACTTCACTTTCATTATCGAGCAACGTTGGCAAGCTCTTAATAACGAAACATTCCGCGTCGTCGAAGCCTATTTGCCTACTAGGATCGGCCCCTCAACAGATAGTCTGTTGATTGGATCCAACGAACCCCTAAATCCCAGAGTGCCACCAAAAAAAAGCATTCCCGTTGATTGCAAGATCATTGATGAATTCCATGGCATGCGCTTAGAATGGACCCTTCGTTCTATTGACTCCAAAAAGTACTTCCCTCGCGAAAAAAGATACTTCCGCTTGACCTGTAAGAAAGGTGACAGAGATAGAGTAATGCAAAGCTACTTCCCTCACATTGCGAAAACGGCACAATCCATCTTGAACAAGCGTGAGACCCTCAACATCTACACCTACGATCAAGAATCTTCCATGTGGGAATCCACAGTTTTTAAGCACCCTGCAACCTTTGACACTATTGCTATGGAACCAAAGCTGAAGCAGTTCATAATGGAAGACCTTGACTCATTTGTTGCACGCAAGGATTTCTTTGAGGGAGTTGGCAGGGCTTGGAAACGAGGGTACCTTCTTTATGGTCCACCGGGGACAGGGAAATCTTCACTGGTCGCTGCAATTGCAAACCACTTGAGATACAATATATACGATCTTCAAGTCCAAAGTGCTCGAAGTGACGCTGACTTAAGACATATACTAACTTCTACCACAAACAGGTCCATTCTCCTTATTGAGGACATAGACTGTGGCACAAAAGTCTCTCATGATCGTGCCAAGGTTCAAGATGATCAAGAAGATAAGGACGATGAGCAACCAAATCGCATTTCTCCTAATGATCCTGGGGTAATTATATTTTTGCATGATTCCCTTACTCTTTCCATCATTTCCTTTGTTCTGGCCTTTGTAACTTGTGACTTCTTAAAGAGGTTAGGTGATGTGAATAAGGTGATTCAGTTACAAGCTTACAATTGTGGTGATTCTGTAGGTAACATTTTCAGGTTTACTCAACTTCCTAGATGGCTTATGGTCGAGCTGTGGGGATGAGAGGATCATCATCTTCACCACAAATCATAAAGAGAAGTTGGATCCAGCTCTGTTGCGCCCAGGACGAATGGATGTTCACATTTACATGGGCTATTGCTCTCCTGCTGGATTTAGAAAGCTTGCAGCTACATATCTTGGAATCAAAGACCATTCCTCCTTTGTTACTATTGAAAATCTTTTAGAAAGTACGACAGTCACTCCAGCAGAAGTAGCACAGCAGCTCATGAAGAGTGACGAGCCTAAAGCTGTACTGGAAAGCTTCATCGACTTTCTTCGCAGGAAAAGGAATGAAGAAACTCGGGAAGCTGGGGCTCCTCCTATTCAGAAACAGGATGGAAAAGAAAGCTGAAGCTGAAGTAGCTCTTTTATGTTTGTTCTAGTATCAATTGGTATTCAAATAGTGTAAAAGTAAATTCCTGATTCAGGTTGATTGTATTAAATTCCTCACATCTTGCTTATGATGAATGAAGATTGTAATAAGAAAATTGAAATGCTCAATTTGGTAATGACATCTTTTTATTATTAGGGTTAGCCAATCAGTTTATTAGACAGCGGGCAGAGAAATGGTATTAGTTGTGTAATTTACAGTATACTTGTTAAATTACATTGCGTGATCAAAAAATAATATAATTCATTGGGGAATTAAATGATTTTAAATTTTGAAGAAATTGTTTTGATTTTAAATTAGATAAAGGGAAAAAGAAAAACAAGCTTTTAAAGAAAGACAATGTAATAATTAAAGGAAGTGATGAACTGAGTCATCATCATCATCATCGTGACTTTGTAGGTGCAAAGAATTAGGCTCACAAACACAAAAATCTCTACTTTTTAGAAGCCAGCCAACCCAAGAAGAGCTAGAAGATAATGATAAATGTGATTCCAAAATAAAACAACAGCTCATTTCAATTAATCAGTTTTATGGATGTGGGTCCAAAATATCTCATTAATTACAAATCACAAGTTAGTTAAAAAGGAGTTCATCTAATTTTAATCTACTTCTTGTAAACAAAATAAAATTGGGAAAAGCAACCATATGCTACGTAGCTACAACAAATTAATTAAGAATATATATATATATATATATATATATATATATATATATGCATAAGACAATACAACCGAGCAGGCAAAAGCCCATGTAACCAAAAAGCATTGCTTAATACAGTTCCTTAAGCAACTCCCTCTTACAAAAACAACAAAAGTATTAGACTTCCTTAAGCTGCACATTCTTCTGATCCCTATTACAAAAAAACAAAAGCATTGCCAATGTATCTGTCATCTTTCTTATTAGTCTCTCGAAAAATATTGACAAAGTGGACATTTATCACCTCTGCAATCTATGTGTCAATTAATTTGAGGAAGATGTTCCAAAGTTTCCACATTTTGGCACCAGCTAATCGCGGCAACTCTTGAAACATATTCAAGAGCAAATCATCCACTGTAATTAATACGCTTATGCTCAATTACTATTTCGATCCTTGCAAGCCAAATTGACCGGAGTGAAGATGGGACAGAAGAATACCACCACTGTTTAAGAATCCCAGTGAACAAACTGTCAAAATAGACCACTGTTTATATTTTGATCACCCAATGTAAATTTATCAAGTATACTGTAAATTATGTATGATATCGATGTATCCAAAATATGTTGAAAATTAGATGATTTATTATGGGCCTAAGCTAAAAACTTAAACAAAATCATCCTTTGTTTCAGATCAATGACAGTGTACTTTACTCTTCCTTTATGCTTGATTGATTTGCTTAATAATGATTAAAACTTATTGTCAAAATAATAATAATAATAATAACAATAATAATAATGATTAAAACTTCATAATTTAACAAACAAAGAAGAAATTAATTTTTTTTACATGCCATATATACGTGTATATATATATATATATATATATATATATATATATCTACAATGTTACCTACTAAATTACATTATTGACATGTAAAATATTAAAAAGTCTGTTATATATTTAGATGTTTGTTTCAAAATCTTATTCTATAAATCATCAAAATAACTATCAATAAAAATAATTTATCTGATCAACTATAGTCTAAGATTTCTATTGATTAATAAATTTTTTGAAGTAATTATTGATTAATATTATATGCAAATACTATTAACTACTCTTGCTTACTGCCCGCCACCCCCCCCCCCCACCAAAAAAAAAAAGAAAACTAGTATTGCTCCACTCATGCTTCTATCACTATAAGAAATTTGACATATAGTGACATTAAAAAAAGTATCGGTAAAACCTCAAAATCCGACAGTATAACACCATAAACCCTATACCGATAGTTAAAATATGTATTCTGATGAATTTTTAACTGTCAGTATATTCTTTATCGATATAGACTTATACTGATGATTTTTAAGGTATCAGAATAGTTTATAGAGATATACCTATGATTCAATATCGTCAGTAAATGTATATTGTTGGTATAGTATCTGTTATGTGTTAAACAATTATATTTTTTATCGACAGTTAACATCCGTTAGTATAGACTTGTATATCTTAATTTTTATTGCCTATATCGATAATTAATGCTCATCAGTATAGATTATTAGTATAGCCTGAAATATTTCAATAGTAAAATGCATTAGTATAAATTTGAAGGCGAGGGTAAAATTTTTTTTTTGAATTATATTTTGAATTATTAATATTAATTTATTTATAATCATAATATGATATGATTTCATATAAAATAAAAATACACAAAAAAATAAAATTATTTAATAACATTTGAAATAAAACAACAAGCAAATTGTTTTATAATCCACAAATTTAAAATAAGTCAAAAACTAACATCATTGTATTAAATAATAAAAAAAAAACATTAATATCTATAATTGAATGTCTACAAACATGGTGCTCGAACTTTGCATCAAAGAATCCTCTTGGTGCTATTACTAATAGCAGAACCTCAAATCTTCTATACATATTTTGAACAATGTTTTAAAGATTGTTCACATCAAATGCATATTGATCTACTGCAACTCTTGTTCCAATGCCGGAGCCACACAATTAATTTCCTAATTAGCCAAATTGTTATTTAAGAAATTCTTATAAAATCGAAGCATGCATTAAAATTTTAGAAAAAAAGATTTTTTTCTGTGATATTTTTATTCGAAAGGCCTAAAGATAAGTTGCTTACTAGATTAAAAAGAAAAACTATTCCCCAGCTACATGTTGCATAGTCACATTTATCAACATGCCACCAATTCATAGTAGAATAGATGAAGTTTTCATTTATTTTTCCTATTGAAGCTGTTCCATTAACAAAAGCAATGCCGTTAATAACATTTTTAGGCCCTTCTCTATTTTTCGAAGTAACAAAGACTAAGCTTAGATTCATATAATACAACTAAAAATACAAAAAAAAAAAGGCATGACTTGATGACACAAAATTGAAATGCAGAAAAATAAAAAATACTTTTGAGAAGTGATGAGAGTCTTGATGCTTCAACTTTGATTCAACTCTAAAACAAAATGGGTGTTGATGGGTTTAAGTTTGTAGAGTCAATGAGAGGTGAAGAGAGTTGATGGGAGTTGGAGATTAAGGATGCAGAGTTGGTATGAGGTAGAGGTAAAGAAAATGATTTAAATTTATAAGCCTGTAATTTTTTTTGGATTATTCAAGGCGTTTTTTGCCATAAATGCCTTAAATAATCTCTTAAAAAAATTCAATGGAGTTATTCAAGGCGTTTCTGGTAAAAAATATATTGAATAATCTTTTCAATTTTTTGTAAGGGATTCTTTCAAAACACTAAAGGAATGGATCGAACCTACGATCTTATAGTTAATAGCTGTATACTCTAACCGACTAAGCTACTTCAGTATTTTTATTAACAATTATTCAATGTGTTTTTGGCCAAAAATGTATTGAATAATTCTTTTATAAAAATTGAAAGAGATTATTTAAGGTGTTTTTGACAAAAAATACCTTGAATAATCTTATTCAATTTTTTATAAAGGATTATTCAAAGCATTTCTGACCAAAAACACATTCAATAATATCTTAAGAAACCCTCAAAAAGCAAAAAGAATGATCAAACCTACAACCTTATAGTTAATAGCCATATGTTCTAACCAATTGAGTTGCTCCAATGTTTTTGTTAATGGATTATTGAAGGTGTTTTTAAACGCCTTGAATAATCCTATTTAATTTTTTGTAATAGATTATTCAAGGCATTTCTGATCAAAAATACCTTTAATAATCTTCTGCAACTTTTTTGTATGGATTATTAAAGGAGTTTTTAGTTGAAAACACCTTTAATAATCCATCTCCAAATTTTTTTGAATGGGTTATTGAAGGCGTTTTTGGCTAAAAATGCATTCAATCCCATTTAATTTTTTGTAAGCCAATAAATTTTTTTGTTTTGAGCCTATACTGATGGTTAATTTAATAACCATCAATATATAATATATTTATACTGATGGATAATCATATATCATCAAAAAATTTATTTATACCGACAATTAAATAAAGTGTTGGTATAAGTATGGTATATTTTGACGATATTAAAAATCTGTCAATAAAAGTCTTTTTCACTTATGGAATTTGACTATCAATAAATAATCCATACAAAAATTTTTTTGTATGGATTATTGAAGGTGTTTTTGATAAAAAAATACCTTTAATAATTCAATTCAATTTTTTGCAAGCCAATAGTTTTTTTATTTTGAGCCTATACTAACGGTGTATAACATATTTATATTGACGGATAGTTATATATCATAAAAAAAATTATTTATATTGACGATTAAATAAAGTATTTGTATAAGTATTGTATATTCTGACGATATTAAAAATCCATCAGTAAAAATCTCTTTTACTAACGAAATTTGACCGTCAGTATAACTAAAAATCAATATATGAAATTTGTTTTTGTAGTGTATACAACAAAAATGCATGTGCGTGAAACTTTAGGAACAATAACCATAGAACAAATATATGTATTTTCTTTTTGGAGTAGTTAAGTAGAAAAGGATTCAAATTATTTAGGTTTTCTTCATTCTTAAAATGGAAATTAAAAAAAAAGAAAGAAATAACTGAACACCTAGAATTTAAGAATTTTAATTTAGATAATTTCATAGCTTGGTAATTACATTTATTATCTAATTTTGTTATCCAAAACAAAATATAACTACATTACCATACAAAAGAAAAAAACTATAGTCGTCATAGTAGTAGTATTAGTGGTTTCAAAGATTATAAAAATTTCGCTGCCATAGATAAACAATATATATACATGCAATTAATTACTTTCATATAAAAACAAAAATCATATTTTAATTTAAATATAAGAAAGGTAATATATAATTTAAATAGACAACCTCATGGTCAAGTCTGAATTATATTCAATCAAATTACAGACTTGCTCCATCCCAAATTGTTAGTCTTCATTGATTTTTAGGGAGTTTAAGAAAAAAAATTTATTTTGGTGTATATAATATTAAAATTTTGATATTTCATAATTTCAAATGCTAAAAAGTTAAAAAAAAAAAAAAAAAGTGAAACATAATTATGTAATATTAAAAATATAGGAGATTTTAATATTAAAAAAACATAA